TGTGATGCTTTTGTCCCATAGCTATATCCAAAGATTGCTTTTGTTTCTTCTTTATTATTTATTTATTGGGCTAAACTTTAATTGTTTCAATAATTTGTTAAATATGACTTTAGCAATTAAACCATAGAACATGAACAAGGATTGTATATTTGTTATATCCATTTTGAATCTCTTGAAAATAAAGTAAATTATTATCACGAACTAAATGTCTCGTTACATTTTCGTGATATTGCAATTTATGTACCAAGTTTTCAATCTCCAACAAAAAGGGAGCGTTGGTATTCTTATTTAATCAGGTCGGGTCAGCCCGCTTGAAACTATCTACAATCCAATAATCAAAAATGGCAATTTTCAATTCGGTATCGCGTTATTTAAATTTAAATTCTTACGAAATTATTCATCTCATTATTTAGTTCAAAATAAAGAAAAAAATAAAATAAAATTGAAATCACACGAACTGAATTGACGATTTAGATATGGGAGGTGGGGGTAGGGGTGTGTGGGAATGGGCTACGTAGTAGGAATGAAAATGAAGTGTATTGGATGATGCGAAGACACAATCGATACAAAATGTCATTTGAACTTGTTTATTCTACTTCTACTTTGGAAAGTCAATTTTCTTATTTTTATGATACTTATTTTTTTAGAAAAAATATTTTTCAATTTTCTTATCCAACAAACATGATAAATTGGAGAAAATGTTTTTCGCCATACCGAACGCATCAGAGATTAAAAACTAGTTAAAATTATTTTGTTAGAAAACTGAGAATAATTTATTACTTACATATATATTACTAAGAAAGTTAATTCCGAGTAGTTCCAAAATGAAACTTCTTCTCTCGTCCCAATTATACCATATATTTATCTTTGAGATAAGGGTCTGAAAAATACTCCAATTTTGATCGGATTTGCTGTTGCGATACTAAACTTTTATGAGGACCTATTATCTCTCTAGACTATTTAATACCGTATTTTTTACCCCATCAACTATTTAATAGTGTATTTTAAAGGTATATATGTGCCCACGTGGACACATTACTATTTATAATTTTGCATTTTTTATGTCCATGTGGGCAAATATATATGTTTAAAATACGGTATTAAATAGTCTAGGAAGGTAATAGGTCCTCATGAAAGTTTAGTATCGCAACAACAAATTCGACCAAAGTTAGAGTATTTTTTAGACCCTTTTCCCTTTATCTTTCGAAGAATTAATTTGACTAATATTTAAAATTTAAGTGGAGTTAATTAACTTAATGTTTAAAATTAAAATTTAGATATTAAAAAACTTCACGGAAAAAAAGTTGTAATTTATCTCATGTAAATATCATGAAAAAATCTATTTTAAAATATTAATCAAAGTTTAAATAGTTTACATTTCAAAAAATAAAAAATATCACATAAAAAAAATTCGATTTGAGGTATAAAGTGGGAAGAAGGGATGCTATAATTAGGATTTTGAATAAATTAATTTATTTTTCGTTTTCATATAGAAAAAGTAATAAGAATGAAATGTGTATCTGACATCAAATTATTTAATCGACCTCCTCCCTACAATATCATTATTATAGTAGAGTTTAACCATCAAATTCGAGAGAGATAGATTAATGTGATTTATTTATGCCTAAAGCACCTAAATATCAACTACTAACAACAAATTAAAGATTTGAAAGGAAAAACATATAAATAAGTGATTGTAAAAACTCAATTCTTAACGCTAAGGGAACACCAAAATATAGAATTGAGACATAAAGAATAGTAATACAATTATACAATAGGCCTCCGGTAAATCGTGACACAAAATAACTTTTACATTTGGTCTGAGTAATGTCATTTTTTTTAATAATAAAAACCATGAATTGGAAAAGGAAAGAAGATATATTAGATAGATTTGGGTGTATTGTCCTTTACTAGTTGAAAACTTTGACTGCCTTTTGGGCAAGAAGTACAATTTCGAATAAACTTCAATTTTGTCGGCAAATGGAATTGCCTATAACTACACTATAGTGTGTTTGGTTCCAAAAACAAAATAAAATTCTAGGAACATTTTTTTTTTTTTTGAAAAATAAGTATTTTTTTTTTTTTTTTTAAGGATCCGGCTCCCCTCTATTACTATTTACCCCTTCCCTTCATTTCGTCAAGTGCACCTCTAGATAAGAGACACGTGTCTTATTTAAAGTTTAAAGATCAAGATTATATTATATTAACAAATATCATAACCATAGTTAAGTCAACTAATTTTAGAAAACTATTCTCTAAATTTGGTAAAAATTACAATATATTTCATACAAAATTTAATATTTATTAATAGCATTAATTTTAATATTTATTAATAGCATTAATTTTATCTTATACTTTTATATTTAAATGTTAAAATTGTAGAACATGAAGCATTTATATTTAATGTGATAAATAATAATCTTCAAAAACATTTGCATTTAAAACAATGTTTTCTTTTATTTCACAAAAAAAAGAATATAAAAGAATTAAAAAACGTATATTTTTCCCTTCAAACGTACAATAACCACATTTTCTCCTTGGAATAATTTTGATATCGTTTAATTCTAAAAGCCTCTTGTCTTTTTTTATTTTTGTTTCGTGTTCTTTTATTTTATGTTTTTTCTTCAATATTGATAATTCTTCACTTTTTTTTCGTTTCTCGACGTAGTATAATATTTCAAGAATAAAGTTTACTAGTACAGAAAATTATTTAGTTGATTCTCACTTTAAATATCATAAACTTTAATATTTAAATATAAAATATAAGATGAAATTAATAAATATAATTTTTTTTAGGGAATATGTTGTAATTTTTTAATCAAATTTAGAGAGTAGTTTTCCAAAATTAGCTGACTTAACTATGATTATGATATTTGTTAATATAATATAATCTTGACCTTTAAATTTTAAATAAGACACGTATCTCTTATTTAAGGGTGCTCTTGATGAAATAGAGGGAATGGATAATGGAGGGGAGCTTGATCGATAGAGTGTGAGGCAGGTTCAGAATTAACAGGGGATGAAATAGTCGAAGAATTAGGGTTAGAGGCATTGGATGAATAAGGTGTCAAGTTAAACATAAACGGAGGGAGTATAACATTTTATTTTATATAAGATTTAAGCGAAAAGTGTAACATGTAAGTTGTAACTATTGTGACTAAGGGAGTAAGATAAAAGTACAATAAGTCAATGTTACAAGATTAATGGAAAAACACATATTGATTAATTTTGTTAAAAATGGATGGGAGGCACCGACAAATTTCTAATGCCATGCAGTAGAAGAAAAAAAAAAATGTATAAAATCAGGCTGGCCTAAAGTTTTTTTGGTCAATCTTTTGGGAATTTAAATTAGTGGCCCTCAAAGTGAACACAATGTTTTACATAGAGTTTGAGTTCCACAAGTCTACAAAAAAATATCAACATCATTTTTTTCATTTTCTGTTTGCTGCCAAAATTTTACTGTGTAGTGCTCTCATCCAACAAATTTTGTTGACATCTTCTGCTCCTTTTTTCATTTGAGAAGTCTCATTTCAATAGATTTCTTATACATTAATTAATGACAAGTTTAATTGGAAACTAGAATTACCACTTATAGTAATAAACTTAAAATAATATTGAAAGAGAACTTGTACTAAGCACATGCGAAATTATGTATTATTGCGATCTCTCTCTCTTTTCTTTCTTTCTTTCATCGATTAACAATATTCTCCAATTTTAGAACAGGAATACTACTTTATGTTTTATTAATAATTAAATTTACGAAAATACTTTTATTCCCTTTTAATAATCCACTATTTTAGCATAAATCTGCTTATAAACTCACACGTAATGCCTTATTTGATTCTGTTTCTAAAATGTTCTAATCAGTAAACTCTATTCCGTGTAATTTCACAAAGTGGGATCTTAGGAGGGTAGATGAATGCAAACCTTATCCAGGCCCTATCTTGAAAGTAGAGAGGTTGTTTATGGTAGACCCTGACTTGATCAAAATTAGATCCAAGGAGTTCTGAGAGGAACAAAATACTGTAGAAAGTATGACAAAGCACACATTTTAAACATAACTACCAAAAAAATACGACGACTAAAGTGCAATAAACGATAGATAATAATAGAAATTGAGGAACAAGAAACTACATGAGTACTACTACAACTACTAGTATGAAAGGATAAGCAAGACCACAATCTACTACCTGCTAACCTACTACCCCTATTTGTGTCTTCCACAACGTTTTATCTAAGGTCATATCCTCGATAAGATGATACCGTGCTATGTCCCATCTAATCACCTCTCCATAATACTTCTCTGGCCTACCTCTAGCTCTCCCAAAACCATCCATAGTCAATCTATCACACATCTGATCTACACTGGGGCATCTGTGCATCTCCTCATTAAATGTCTGAAACACACACGTCTCGTTTCCCCATCTTGTCCTAAACTGAAGCAACTTTCACCTTATCTCAGATATCTTTTTTTATTAATCATATCTCTCTAGTCCTAGTATGTTCATACATTCATTTCAGTATCACCATTTCTGCAATTTTCATCTTCTGAACGTGAGAGTTAGAATATAACTACCAAACTCGTTCAAGTTCAAACGAATTAGGCAAATTATATATACTTTTGGCACCCTGAGTAGCGTGTAAGCATTAGTTCCAGTAAGACGATAGTTTTCACAAGGTTTGGTGAATGAAACAATACATGTTTGCACGTGTAATATTCAACTTTGATATGATTGATTCCAAGGTCCTACTTGTTTGGCACAACAGCTGACATAAATCTTAAAAAAAAATTGTTCCAAATAACACTTTCTTGATAAAACATCCAATCATACTTTATTAGAAAATTAGAAATGATATATCCTACCCAATAGTCTTGTCCCCTTTTGGAATTTTGTTTTCATAAGCCTAACCCCTTTAGTTTCAAAAAAGAAAAATAAAGTTGGTTTCTTAGCTTCCACTCTTGGACCTTTGAGTAGTATATATATATATATATAACTATTACATCATTTCTTCTAATCTAAATAAGGTCCTATCACATTGAACACTTGATATACAAGTTTTTATTTGACCTCTCCACTTTGGATAAAGTCATCTTCCATTTGCAAAATTTGATTGAAGAAGAAATTATGGCAAAGATTGGAGAAAAATCAGTGGAAATTCAATTGGGTTGTGGTCTAGTGGCAGCGATATTTCAACGTGGAAATTGTAAGCCAATTAAACAACCAGTATCACAAATTTCCAAAAAGAAATTATCCAAGCCTCAACCAAAACCACTCTCAATTACTCTGAGGAACTCGATTTCACAAGATCGAAAACACGTTAGGAGATCAACATCTGATGGTACACGAAGCAGCTCGAAGATCAACCAATCGTCTAATTCTTCAAGCACGAAGAAAATGTCACAAGTTGTCAACTTGGTGCCTAATACTCACAATCTTAGGAGGCAATCAATGTTCACCTCGAGTGACTCGAGCGCGAATGGAACGTTGAATCGTGCTTCAAGCACGGGGAACATTATGTTATTAGGCCAATTAGGGAATTTGAAGCAGCAAAAGAGAATCCAACATGTTTCAACTCATCAAAAGTTTATTCTACAGAATGGCAGAGTATTGATGGGGAACATTGTAAACAAATTGGATCCTGATGTACTCAAATCCATGGGAAATGAACATTACAAACATGGAAGATTTGAACAAGCAATTGCTTTATATAATCAAGCAATCACCATTAATCCGAAAAATGCTTGTTATTACAGCAACAAAAGTGCAGCTTTGTTGAGTTTGAACCGTTTGATTGAAGCTGTAATCGAATGCAGAGAGGCCATTCAGCTAGATCCTTTTTACTACAACGCGCAATATCGCCTTGCAAGACTATATCTCAGGTACTAAAATCAACTCAAAACAGATTTTTTTTTCGAGTATTTTTTTTTATTGTAATAATATTTGTCTCAACAGATTAGGAGAAGCAGAGAAAGCATTGGAACATTACGAAAAATCAGGACCAAAAGTTGACAGAAGAGACATTTCTGAGGCTCAAAATCTTAAAAGAATGATCAGCAATTGCATAGAAGCTCAAAGGGTAAAAGATTACGTCACATTACTTCATATGAGCGAAAATGCATTGTCATCTGGTGCAGATTCAGCTCCACAGGTTTAAACAACATTGTCCATAATTTACTTGTCAAGTTTAATTTCAACATTACGTATTTAACAATATTTACCCTTTGTTATTTTCATACTCGAAGATATTTGCAATGAGAGCTGAAGCATTGATAAAATTACATAGACATGAGGAGGCATACACCATCATTCAGAAGGGACCTAATTTCAAAACATGTCTTTCTACTCGTATTTTCGGATCAGCTAAAACAGCTTATTTGCTAACAATTCGAGCACAAGTTTACACACTAGTAGGCAGGTTTGATGATGGAATCAGTACAGTTCAAGAGGCTGCAAAACTCGATATCAGCAATGAGATAATCGCGATATTAAGAAGAATTAAAGGGGTGGCATCAGCTCGGGTAAAGGGTAACGAGTTTTTTAAGGAATCGAAATACATAGAGGCTTGCTGTATGTACACAGAAGGACTAGAACAGGATCCATACAATTCTGTTCTGTTATTTAACAGAGCAACTTGTCGAATCAAGCTAGGGCAATTCGAGAAAGGAGTGGAGGATTGCAATGCAGCTCTTGTGTTACGTCCTTCGTATACTAAGGCTAGAGTTCGTAGAGCTGATTGTTACGTAAAGGTAAAATTTGTACTAATGTTAATCGAAGAATGTGTTGATAATATTGCATAGATTATACATTGACCAATTTGATTTTTTTTTTTGAATTTTGTTGTATAGTTGGAAAGATGGGAGGCTGCAATTCAAGAATTTGAAATGTTGTTACAAGAAAAACAAGGGGATGAGGAAGTTAAGAGGGCATTGATTGATGCAAAGATTCAATTAAAAAGAGAGAGGGAAGAGGATCAAAAACAAAGAAAGCTATGCAATGAATCTAACTTAGTGTTAGTTATTAGCAATTAATTTTGTCTCAATATTTTGCTTGTTTATGAAGAAGCTTGATTTGATTATTTCATGTTTGTGCAATGTATATAGCTTCAAGTCAATGTACAAGTAAATTATATATTCAAGTCATCATTATTAACAAATCATATAGTACTATACAAGGAAGAGTAATTTGTTGGAGTCTCATCTCTTTTGTGGGATGAGAATTTGGTATTGGATAATTGTCTCCTCGTTAACTAGTTTTTAGGATCGATATAGGTCCAATGTTCATTTTATTACGTCTATCTCAATTTATTGTTTTGGCACCCCACCTTATATTGTTCATGCTCCAGATGTCCAGTCTTGGGTGTGTTCGAGTCCCATAACATTTGTGAAATGGAATTTGGTTTCCTTATATCGTATTGGACAATTCTTCCCTAATGAGCTAACATTTGGGATTAAGTTAAGCTCAATATCCATTTCTTTATCATTAATAGGAAAACTTTTCCTTTTTCGGATTGTTTGAACTTTGAATTTATCTTAAACTCTCTTTTTTCATGGGATGTATGGTACCTACATTAGATTCTGACTAATTCGGACTATTAAAGTGAAAAATTCTCCTTATTAGGATTTTTCTATATCCAAAGTTAAAACTCGAGACTTTTAATTAATGATCGGAGGAATTATATTCATCTCAACACAACCTAAGATAATTGACTAATCATGAGTAAGGTTATAAAGATCGGATAATAGACTATCTTTTTCTTTCTCCAGCATACAGAAATTACTTTTTGATATTTTATGTTATCTTTTTGTAATATTTGCATGCACAAAGAAAGTTGGTATGCCCCTTTTCCATGTTATATAATTTATATTCTTTAAGCTTTTAATTAATTAAGTAATTAACTTTAAAAAGAAGCGCAATTTGAGGGGTTCATTTAGACCTAAAGCACCACATTTGATGTATCCTTTTCAAGATTGGAAGGAACCTTTGAAAAAATATTCCATTTACTTTAAAATTTAAAAACATTAGGAACAAAGAAAAGATATGTTGCATTTAAAAAAAAACAATTTAGATATTTTTTATTTATATTAATACAGATTATGAGTGATATTAGTTGTGAAAGAATAAGAGAAAAGTCTTCATATACCCTATTGTAAGAAATATTGGTGTTTTTCAAGCTTATTGGATGACACACTATGCCAATAATTTATTTTTCCCTGTACATATAAATTAGTACTATTGAGAATGTCTTCAAATAAATTATTTATTTATTATCATTAAACTATACTTTGTTAATAGTTAATACACATCTTCATCTAATATATGACTTATTCATGATAAATTATTTCAGTTTGATGTATATACTAGGTGTTTATAAGTTACTTCCTCTATCTCTTATTACTTGTTCATTTTTTTTTTTAGTTGTTTCTAATTACTTGTCCATTTTCACAAAGCAAGAAAGGACATTTTTTTTTACCTATTATACCCTCAATTAATTACTTTGAAAAAGATAGAACTTCTTGGAAATCTTAAGTTTTTAATTCACCCACTTCATAATTAAAGGGGTAAAATGGTAAATTCACTATGCCAACCACCATTTCTTAATATGTATGTCAATTCAAAAGTGGTCAAGTAATTAGGGACATAGGAAGTAGTCTTTTACATATTCAATGTGATATTCCCTCCATCCATTTATACTTGTCTGTTATATTTTTATTTATGTAGTTTGATAAATTAAGAAATAATTTTTATAATATATCTTTATCATTAATTATAGATATTCTTTTAAAATATTTAATTTATTATATTCAAACTTATCTTTTTATTAGCGTACTTTTTAAGGGGTGTCATAAGTCAAATAATGGACTGAGATAACAAAGAAAGAAAATAGGAAGTGGTGTTTGCTTTTGGAAGAAGAAAAATTTGAGCCTTTCCCAAGTTCCCATATTGGATTTGAAACGACTTCAACAATAAAACAGGCTTTACAAAAGGCCTTTCTCAAATCTCTATATACATATACATACATTCAACAAACTGAAGAGGGAGGCAGGGGCGGACAAACGTGTAGAGTTTTGGGTGCTCGAGCACCCATTGACCCTGACGGAAACTTTATATATGTATATAGAAAATACTGAAAATATTGTATAAAGTTTTCTTCAACACCCATTAAACAAATTATTACATGGGCGTTGTGGTTCTGAAGTCAGATTTTAGAAGCGTTGGTGCCCTCCCTCCATCGAGGGTTCGAGCCCCTACAACATCTATATTTTTGTTGAAAAAGCAAACATAAACTTCTTTGACTTCTTTTTCAAAATTTTGCTTATATTTCTTTTTGTGTTTCCATTTTTTTAGTTTTTGTATTTCATTAATTAATTATATTAAAAAAATATTAGTTAACTTCTACAAAGAAACTTTTTTTAGCTAGCAAATGTTAAAAGAATTGAGCATCCACGATCATCAGATCCTGGATCCACCACTGGAGAGAGGAATATTGCACTTTTCACACAGGGCTATGAAAATAGGTAAAATTTAACAGCTCACCCTTTTAGTTAAAAGTGCTCCGTTTAAAGAGAAAAATATCAAAATTAAGCTCGATGTACCTGAAAATGCTTAGAATTTTTGAAATTAATCTCAATGTTTCCAATATAAAAATATCAAAATTTTCAATCTCTTTTATTTCCTTTCTTCTTGAAGTACATACAATACAAAGGGCCTAAATAAAAAATTATCAAATTGAAAATATAGTCACAATCAAGAACAAAGTGGAAGAAACGCTACATTTCAATAACAAAGGATACAAAAAGAACTGAAATACAAAGCTGTAAATAGGGGACACGGACGGAGAAGTGGAGGAGAAAACGACAACAATAACAACATCCAATCAAGTTTAAATTCAGTGCATGCAATATTTTTACAACCCAAACACCAAAATTGAAAAAAAATAATCAAACCCATCAAATGAAAAATTGACAAAAGGTGACTTAAACTAATAAAAAGAAAATAAAACTAAATCTCGGGAGAGAAGGTGTTAAAAATTATATACTACTATTAAACATGAGTGATTGAAAGAATTGAGGTGGAATAAAGCAACTTAAAAACTAAAATGAGAAGAAAAAAAACAAGAGGAAATGCATACCTAGAGTAGCTTAAGTTCCATGTAGCACTATAATAACCCTCACACTTAGCAATACATTACCAGAAGGCTATGATTTTTTTAATTATATGTTTAAAATAAATACCACAATAAAGGACTTCTATGTACGTCATTATTGAGATGAACATATATCTACATGGGAAGTGATTAACTAAAAATAATATATTATCTAGTACAATCATATTCAAATATTATGATGGTGAATAAGAATTTTTTTAACATTTGAATTAGAGTAATGTATGAAAGAGATGATCATATATGTTTATGTAATGCATCTTCAAGAAGGTCTTAATTCATCATTTCAAATGTGTTGGAGCTACGATCCCCAACAATTAGTAGTCTACCAGCCAAACTTCGCTGATAAGGAGGCCTTTTGATGTACCTTAAAAAATCAAATGAACACCAATCATCAATTAAAGAAGTTTAAATTGGGAGTGTAGACACGTAATTTTTGACCGAACATAAAATTTTATACTATTTTTATTCCTTAAATATTTCTTTTATGTCTAAGTTAGATATTTTGATTTTTGTCTTATTTTATTATTTTAAAAGATTTGAAAATAACAAAAATATATGTTTTCTTTTAATTTAGGTTTAATAAATAAGCTAATATTTCTTAATTATAATTTATTATTAGCTATACAATTTTTGTTAGTTTAAAATATAATTAAATAATATCTATATTATATTAATTAAATTAAATTATATTATATTATATTGTATTATATTATAATATATTATATTATATTATATTATATTGTATTATTTTATATTATATTATATTATTAAAAATAACTAAATAATAATAACTTACCCTCACTCCCACTTTCTCTGCCAATCACCCCACCCTTACCTACATTATCCCATAATATATACTCCACTCCACTCCCTCAACCAAAAAGAGATACTACACCACTTCATCCATACACACGTACTACTCCCTATACGTACCACACACCCTATATATATTAACAGACTTCCCACAAACAAAAGAGGAAGAAGAAAAGGAAGGACAGAAACAAAAAAACAACAACACATTACACGAGAAAAAAAAAGAAGAAAAACCTTCCCATTTTATTTGATTATCCTTTTAAAAAATTCACCAACACATTCATATCTTTTCTTCCTTACCCCTTTTTTTTCATATCAACACAAACACATATACCATCACAAATAACCTACAAAAGTTGTGGGTGTTCTAATCGAGCTTCGGTTAAGATCTTGCGGTATTCAACTTTACTTTATCTTCTTATTTAATTTATTCATGGAATTTAATGTAATTATTATGATAAGTTTTCTTACACTTTTATTTTATTCATAATTTGATTAAAATGAAGAATGTGTTAAGTGTTATATCTCTTTAATGAATGAAAGTAACTTTATTGGTGATTATTTTTATTTATCTATTTTTGTTCACTAGTTGTGATGTCTTAAAATGAATGGGTCATGATGTTGTTCTTTTCTTAATTTCGATGCTAATAATGATAAAGTAAGAATTATTGGGTTCACAAAATTATTGTTGTTTTATTTATTAAATAAAGAATGAGATTTATTTTAGCAATTCGTCATTGTTTTGTTGGATTAATAAAAAGTACAATATGAGTATGCCTAATTTCGCCATTAACTTCAAGATTTTTTAAAAAAATAAAAATATAAGATGCGTAGGCCTAATTTTAACATTAACTTTAAGGGTGAATAAAAATAAAAGAATATAAGATAATCCAAAATTTATATTGTATCCTAGAAGTTTAGATTTGTTTTATTTTATTTGATTTTATTTAATATTTTCTTATAACATTAGACGGGTTTTACGCATGTAAACAAAAAATAGTATTTGTTTCAATTAAGAATGTGGTTACACATCTTTTTTGAAACACTTAAAAGAAATTCAAGGATGTGGTGACACACCTTGATAAAATTATTCTAATATATATTTTAACATGTGGGCATTTAGATTCATTTTACTTTATTTAGTTTTATGCATAAAGGAAAAATATAATTTTTTT